GTCCTCGTGCCCGGAGAGTCTGTGTTCCGGTTGGAGGACTCGCGTGTGAATTGGAGCAGTGCTCGCGCTCAGAAGCCTGGGCAAATGCCGGGGTGGGTGCAGCATGGGTGGTCTGGCTCAGCGAAAGACCAGAGCAGGGTTTCTGGAGGGGCGAGGCAGAGAGCCGAACCTCAGCACTGGGGAATTCTGGGATGGAAGATCTGAAGTTGGAAAGACGTTATTTGCCCCCAAAGGGAGTGTGTGGCCATTGCGGGTTTGTGAGAACCCCTGTATGAGCCACCCTCGACCCTGAGTCGAGTTCTCCGGGGCCATCGTGGGTGTGTGAGAACCCCCGTATGAGCCACCCTCGACCCTGAGTCGAGTTCTCCGGGGCCATCGTGGATTTGTGAGAACCCCCGTATGAGCCACCCTCGACCCTGAGTTGAGTCCGCCGGGCAGCTGTGCACCCTCCCAGGCTGGAGCGTGTCTAGCGTGAGCGACTTAGAGACTTGGGAGCAGGTGTCTCTATGGCAGAGTGTGAGCCCTGTCTGTCACAGATGGCCGTGGGGGTGAGCGCCGACGCACAGGTGAGGAGCAGCCTTGGAGAGGAGTGGCTCGGAGGGAGTGGGCACACTGCTCCGGTATGGGCTTCAGCAAACAGGGACGGCAAAAGGAAAGACTGGAACACAGTCGGGTGAAACCAGGGGCTCGGAGTTAGCCTAGGGTGACTTCTGGCGCCGAGAACAGAGGGTCTGTCGCCTTGTTTTCTGTCTAGAGTGCTCGCTGGAGCAGAGGAACTTTCGCTCTCTGGAACACGTGCTCTCTCCTGCTCTGGAGCGCAGTGCTCTCCCCCCCGCCCCAGAGCGCAGTGCTCTCTCCCCTCTGGAGCGCGGTGCTCCCCCCTCTGGAGCGTGGCCCTGTGCTCTCTGGAACTCAGTGTCTGTGTCTGTCCCTGGATCCCAGCCTTGTTCTCTGTGACAGGAATGTATGTGGAGCAGGTGGCCTATCTCAGGATCCAGGTGGGTGGTGGCTTGTCCAGAGTATTTGTTTAGGCCATGTTGGGCTCTGGAATTTAGTTTTCAGTTCAGGGAAATATGTTAGGTTCCAAGTGTCCAAGTCCAGGGCCTCTGGTTGGTCATGTCTGTCTGGACACCCCCACAGTGGCAGTGAGGGCCAATGAGTGGACGAAGGGCAATGGCCGGGTGGGGCCGCGGGAAATTTGGACAGGATGCCCTGAGTACACGCCATTGCATTGCGGCGTGCGTGCTCCGGCCTGATGCACACGCTCCACCCTGAGTATGCACCATTGCATTGCGGCGTGCGTGCTCCGGCCTGATGCACACGCTCCACCCTGACGTCCCTGCCACTCTCCTACGTGGCTGTGCTGGTGCCGCACTCTGCTCTGAGCATCCTTGGCGGGGGGGCACGGGGCCCGCCCCCGGGCCGAGACAAAACTCAGGGCCCCAGCCGCTGGCCAGACACAGAAGCTGCAGGCCCGCGGCCTCAGCCGTTCAGCGCCATGACTTCCTTCCAGGGTCCGGCACAGTCAGCCTGAACATGGGAAGGCTCATCATTCCCGGACACACAGCCGCGCTCCAAGTTCGTGTCCCCATCCAAGGACTCTGGCTGGCTGGGAGAGGGCATGGGGTGTCGGCCAGGCTCTGGGACTCGGGAGACTTCTCAGGCAGCACGTCACCCACTCTAACCGTTTGATGGCTGGCATTTCGTCCCACAGGGAAGACCGAGAAACCTGACATGCTCAGTGTTCTGGAACCTACCACACTCATGGTGGATAGCGCTGTCCACGACGCCACGGAGAGGTGAGGTATCCCGCAGGGCGGAGCGGGCCTGGGTGCCACCCCACGGGGCGTCTCCATGAGGCTCTCAGAGCTGCCAGCTGGGTTTGCCATCACCTCTGAAATGGGTTCGATTCCCCACCGGGCACCACGGGGGCTCGCACTGCCATTTCCCAGCACCTCCTTTGCCTGACAGAACTTGCCCCTCTGAGCCTCTCTTAGCAGACTCAGGGAGGGCACCACGGCCCACCAGGACCTGGAGACACCCTGGCGTAAATGAGGTGGGCCAGGCGTGGCAGGGAGGGAGAGGTCCAGGCCCCAGCCTCCATGCTTGGGCACGGTGACATTTGTCGTGGATGCCGTCCTTCTCTGGAATAAGGAATCCCCGCTCATCCGAGCACGGACAGGCCCTGGGAGGAGGCTGCGTGGGCTCAGGTGTGGCTGTAGCTCATGCGCTCTCATGAGAGGTGTGCAGACACCACGGGGAGGTTACACGGCTCCCAGAGACTGCACATCCCAGGGCAGTGGCCGACTCCACCCACGCCTGTCATTCCAGCCGAACGTGCCCTGTGGTCCGAGTCTGCAAACACACTCTCACTCACTTTCTGAAGACTCGAATCAGAAGGGAAGGGAAAGGGCTCCTTCGCTCTCCCTGTCTCTGAGTCTGGGCTGCAGTGAGACCCCGGCCGCCCAGGGTGGGGGTGGTGCGTGGTAGCGAGCACGAGCTCTTCGGGCCTGCCCGCGTGGGTCATAAATGAGCACATACACCGTGCTTCTCCATGGGAGCTGAGGCTCTGAAGTGCCCGCAGCCTGGCCTGGGCACACGTGTTTGGAGGTGGACAGTGGCAGGTGAGCAGGGTGCCACCACTCTGGGGTGGCTGGTGCAGAAGACCTCGTGGACCCAGGGACTGAGCGCACGATGGCTGCCCCAGCTCGGGGGAGGGAGGGGAGTGGCAGGCCTGCAGGCCAGGTCCCTCTGCGGGGCTGTGTGGCCGCCACGGGACAAGCCGGGCAGAGATGACCTGGTCCTCAGCAGAGGCTGCCTGTGGTCCTGAGGATCTGGACACCCGGCCCAGGGTACGGGCTCCAGGACACAGAGTCTCTGCGGCCGCCCACCGTGAATCAGGGAGGGTGGGACAGGGCCTGCCAGGAGAGCCATGTCCAGCAGGGTGCCAGGGTGAGCTGCGGGCCACTGAGGGGGGAGGCTGACGGGGTCAGGAGAACCCACAGCGGAGGGCGAGGGGAGCCTGGAGCCAGGCAGGGGGAGATGAGCCCCGGGTGCAACAGCAGCAGGTCATATCCATCTGTCCTCGCCAGAGTCCCGGGAACGCTGGGGCAGCCCAGCTGTGATCACGAGGCTGAACCTGATTATCAACTTGCAAACCTTCTCCACAGGGAGGGGTTTGCAGCCGGCCGGTTGGCGCAGGGCTCTTGGTCACCTCCTGTGTATGGTCAGGAAGCCCATGGAAAAGGCCCATGATGAAGAGGACTCGTGGGTTTCATGATTTTTTTGCACCAAAGTTAATTCATACTCAAGCTCCATTTTCCGTGCTCTGAAGCCCCACCTGTCTAGTAAAGGCCCATTGAGGGGTCCTCCTGGAGGGACACAGCTACCTGGGTTGGGGCCCTCTGGACACAGCTCTGAAGTCAGCAGACCCACACAGCTAGGAATGCACAGCTGGCTCCGTGTCCCTGTGGGGTGGGCTGTCATCCCTCAGTACCAGGAGAAGGAAGGATGAGGTGACAAGGCCGCGAACCCTCCTGTGGACGGGAGCCATACCCTCACAGGAGGGTGACCAGCCTCATTGCAGGCAGCCCTTCCAGCTTCAGGTCTTCAGCGACGGCAGAAACAGGATGTTTGGGGACTGGACGGATGGAGACTTGGGGACACTGGAAGCGCCAGAGTAAACGGTCGGGGGCCAGCTGCGCCCACCACCTCCTCACGGTCCAGTCCAGGGAGAGGCAAAACCGAGGCGCTCCGAGCCCCTTCATTGGTGCAGGCAGTGAGGACGGGGCTGTGTGCACACACACCTGTGGTGTCGGGAGCGATGCGTGTGCAGTGTGCGAGGCGTGTGTGGGTGTCGTGTGTATGCCATGTGCACAGCGTGTGTCCGTTCTGGGAACAAGCAGGCCTTGGAGACGCAGAGCTCATCACTCGGATATCTTAGACACTCATGGGCGAACGTCCCGAGGCCAGAGGAGGGGGCTGGGGTGAAAGGGATGGGGCCGCCCGCCGCCCTCCGTCCTGAGCTCCCTGGATGGAGGTGCACAGGTGGGGACCCTGCTCTGGGCTCAGGCGAACGGCTGGTGCCGTGGGATCACGCGCAGGATACTGTTCACCCCCAGACCTCACTCACAGCTAGCAAAGGAAGTGCCGTGAGGCTGAGGGGCCGCTTTAAGTTTATTTAGCATGGGGAGGCACTGCAGACAGCCTCCCACCGGGACCCTTGACCCCTGAGCCAGCCAGAAGCACAGTGCCCACAGACTCGGCACCCAGCCCTCCGCGTGCGGTCTGCCTCCCAGGAGAGCATGTGACCCCGAGCCTGCAGGGCTGTGGGCTTGAGCCTCCCAGCTGCCATCTGGGACACTTAGGAGTCATGGCCACCAGGTTCCCCTGGAAAGACCTCCCTTCTCGTGTGTCAGGGGCGATCAAGGCCAAGCTCGCCCAGCTCCTCCCCTCAAGGGCTGAGCCTCTCTTTCTGCTTCCCACCCCTTCCCTAGCCCCAGGGACCCCTGTGAGCCTCAGCCTGCCAGCCCCGCAGGGCCCGCGTGTCCAGCTGGCTGCAGTTGCTCCATAGGCATCTGCTTAGCTGATGGGGCACCTAAGCACCCAAACAACATTGCACTGACCCTCCCACCTCCTCCACGCCCTAGGAACCACATAAAGAGAGATGCCCGCTCCCGGGCTCAGCTCCTGGCTGCCTCGACGCTCCCCATGCCGGCCAGCAGCACCGTTGCTCACCCGGCAGCACGGGCCATGAGAGGGCCGGTCTCCCCAGGACCTGCTCAATCCCAGCGGCCTCCCGGTGAGTGTGGGTGCCCCACCAGAGCCCTGGGGAGGTGGTTGTTGGTTCGGGGAGTCCTGGCTAGGAGGCAGTCTTACTTGACACGGAGCAGGCTGTGATTCTGCTGGCCCAAGGGGCCCAGAGGGTGCAGCCCCCGGACAGGAGCACGGCCATTGCCATCTGGGGAAGAACCGTGTCTGCTGCCCACAGTAAATATGGATGCGCCTTGGAGCGGCTATGCAGGGCGGGGAGCCTCTGGCAGCTTGCACCTGCACCTGGGAGCTCCAGCCCCCGGGGGACTCCCGCCTGGCGCCACACAGTGCTCGGCTGCCTAGTGACCCAGGCTGGGGCCACCAGGCCTTCCAGAGACACTTGCTCTCTCCAGTGAGGATGGTGGCCCGGGCGCAGGGGACAGTAGGGGAGGGAGCGCCAGCAGGGGCGGGCCTAGACGTCCAGGCCGTGAGGATGCAATCACAGAGACACATCTGGGCCAGTGCAGTGGAGGCTAAGCCACTGGGGCCCACATGGCCCACTGCACAGTTCGAGTCTTAGACCTGGCAGCCTGAAAAACACAGTGGGCGTGTGCGTGCCCAAAGTCCCGAGAGGAGAATGCAGGAGAGAGGGTTGCAGCATGGTCGTCCCCAGGGCACGCTCTCACTTCTCTCTCTCTCTCTCTGTGTCTCTGGAGAGTCCATGCTCTGCCTATAGCAAATTTTTAAAATAAACAACTAAAGGGAACCAGCAGTTAGCGTAATGGCTATGTCGCTGGACTCCCACGTAGTCGACCGCGGTTCGCGTCTTGGACCCGGTGGCTTAAATCTCACGCTGGGCGCGTGTGCGTGCGTGCCCAAGATCCCGAGAGGATTGCGGCATGACCATCCCCTCTGGGGGGTGATTTCTCGCTTTCTGTCTCTATGTCTCTCTCTGTCTGTCTGGCGAGCGCACGCGCCCTATAGCGAAAACCTCTCCAAAAAAAAAAAAACCTAAAGGCATGTTTGTGATGCCTACAATGGGAAGCTGGGCAGCAAGATTTGGTTCTAACAAGCACAGCAAGAACTTTTCGGTGCAGTGCCATGAGCTACCAGTCCCCAAGTCTGCCCTCCTACCAGCCTCCCGACTGATTCGGTTCTGATGGGTTTTGCTCCTAGAAAACTCACCCAAGCCAGAATCGGCCATAGTGCGCAGATCCCACAGTTAGGTGTGATGGACTGTCTAGCACCACAGACACGTGAGACTTCTCTTAGTCTCAGACATTCAATCAGTGTGCGTCACTACAGCTGGTACAGTGAATTTACCCAGCACGCACAGCAGGCCGGTCAATAGAGTATACCATTCACGTACCGACGGATACTCCTCCATTTCTGTGGCCCACAGATGTCTTGCCTCTCTGTTTTTCTCCTGTCTTTCCTCACACTCTCCCCCACTTCCCACCCTCTTCCCACTCTGTCTCTGGTATCTATAACCATTTTCCATGCTTCTATATCCCCTAATCTTTCAGTTTCCACCATAGAGTGAAGACACTCAGTATATGTCAAGTGGGGACATACAGTGTCTCTCCTTCATAGCCTGGCTTGCTTAACTCAGCAGTAAGTCTTCCATAGTCAACACTTTCTTTCTTTCTTTTTTAGAGGTTTTTGCTATAGGGCACGTACACTCGCCAGAAAGACAGAGAGAGACAGAGAGAGAGAAAGCAAGAAATCACCCCCCGGGGGGATGGCCACGCCACAATCCCTTCTCCTCCATTCTCCTCTTGGGATCTTGGGCACACACA